TAATGATCGCCAGAAAATGCATCTTATTGACACCGGAGCAAACGCAAACGCAGCAGCTCTCATGAACTTAGCTGTATTTTTGTTTAAATTTGTTGTATTTTCGTGTCTATTAACAGCTCAGTCTTATTGGCGGCATAATATAAATAGGTGGAGACCCTGGAACAATAATGTCCGTAGCAACTTCTTACCACAAATTCAGACCAAGCGTCACCAAGGGTGATGTGACGGTCCCGGGAAGAGAACAGGAGAAAAGCAAGGCTTGTCAAGATTGAACACAGGGCTACTCCAATACCCAAAGCTGCTCTGGAAAGTGGAATGGCTAAAATAGGACTTTATAAAAAATAAAAAATATATAAATAGAGAGCAATAGAGATAGGCTGCTAATTGGAAGAACAGCTCCAGTCCATCCTCCAGTACGTACGGAATTAAACTGCAGTGTTAGACAGAGTCCTTGTATTGTAAGAAATTAAAATCAATGTTTAATTACGTAATTTATTTTAAACATATGGTAAGCTTAAAACTGTTTTATTGTGAAAACATTTCCGGTTAGCATTCGCCTGTGGCTAACATTGATGCTAAAGTTTAATTTGAAAAGCTTTACCGGAAAAAGTCTCAAATATCAACAGTGAGCTTAACTTCCGGTTTTATGTTAACAACGATTGCAGCCGTTAAAATGCATTAATTAAAAAGTCATGAAAGAGAGTAAGAGGAGAAAAGGCGTGTGGAGTTATACAATGTAGACACTATGTCTAAATCCTCTGTTTTACGCGATATCGGACATAGAAGATAGCGGAGGGAGGTCCCCGACACCAACTGGAGCCATGAGAGGAGGAGCCAACGGAGATGGTGCCCGTTTCTCAATCTCGAGGATACTGGCTTCCAAGCCAATATTTCAAGGATGCTACGTCATCGAGTGCCGTCGAAGGACTGTTCCAATCTCCAGCATACTTGGAATTCCACCGAGGCCGCGTCCTTGGTTTGGGGGAAATTTCGAGGCTGCACATGGGTAGACTTCGTGTCCTTAAAATCCCCACAATCCTTTGCGCACGGAGCAATTTCAAAAACCCTTGCAGAGAATGTCTGAACCGACGCAGCACACATTTAAATATAAGTATGTAGTGGCGTAGAACATGTGTTGGTAAATATGTTACTTTGTTACATTTGTAATCACCAAAAATGTGTTCCGTGAAAGTAAAGCAAGTTCATAATTAGATATACATCGTGAGGTATTTATTTTCGGTACAGTTTATGTTGAAACCGAGCATACTTGCTTCGTTTCTGAAGGAAGTGACTTGGAAGTACGCGACTACCAAGCCAGCATCCTCGTGATTGAGAAACGGCCATAGAGAGCGGGCGAGCGATATTTGTCCTCTCTTCACCCCTGCACCCACGAGACAACAGCTGCAGCTGATGTCTCCCACTACCTTATGTTTGTTTCATTACCACGCTATTTAATTAAAGTAACAAATTAGACCCTTTTCAGAGACTCCATTGTCTCTCATTCTTTAAACTTCTTCCGGTCCCATATCATTCTTTTCCGGTTATTACCCGTCTCCTTGTGTGTTATAAAGGTTTTTATGCATGTAAACGGTCTGCAAAGTCACAAACCCTCAAAGTACACCCTGTAGCTAGTGGAGCCTCGCAGATGGGGGTGCTGCAGCCCCCTCAGCCCCC